AAAACAATACGACAGGCAAAAAGTTTGAAGCACAAACAAGCGAAAATCAATAAAAAAAAATGTGGAAATAAAAGATGAAAACTAAATATGTGACAGGATCATAGAAGTGTCTTATATTGTATATAGTCATTAGAGAGAGTTATGTTGCCGGTAAAGACAAAAAAAAAACAGAAACAGAAATAAATGTACAAACAATACAATAACATATAAGTTTTATTATTCGATGAACTATCACTAACAAAATACTGGTGCAACATACCTATGCTAATAAAGATTTGTTCAAATATTCTTCTCATTTTAAAACAATAATAGTTAATTTTTTGTAATACTTAAAACATAAGAGCACATGAATAAGTTATTGGAAAACAATGTTTACGTATTTTACTGAATTCAAAATAAGATTTTTACAAGATTAGACAAATAAAAAAATAAATGAATAATTTGTACTAAGATTTTATTTTAGTGTCTAATACCATGCGAAAGAATATTTAATGTTTGATATTTAATCGATGATTATGTAAATGATTTAAGGATAGTATCTACTGGAGTTTTCTTATAGTATTTCTAGTAATTCAATATTACGTAGTCTATTTTCATAATAATATGACCTTTGAACGTTTAAGAAATAGATAAATTTCTCAAAGAAATCAATTTAGAAATGTTGATGGATACGAAACTAAGTTTTAGATGATGAAAACATTGGTATGTTGAGTATATTTAAACAATTGGAACTTTCCATTGAAAATGATATAAATTTAAATCAGAATTAAATATCTTACAACAAATGAGTATTTTTAGAGATTTAAGGTTTAGTTTGAGTAAATTATTGGATTCGAAAAAAGATCAAGAATATAATATGACCCGAGATCATATGTTAATTAAATCGGTCTAAACAACAATTTTTATTAATATATTTTCCTCATTTCTAATAAAATGTAGGAATATATACTTATATTATCAACGAATAAATATACTAATCGACGTTCTTGGATCTATTCTGTTCAGGTTCTTGTTTTTCTTGATCGATCAGGCAAGATTCTTTTTAATCCTGAAGGTCAGACAAGATTCTTTTAACAGAAAAAGAAAAAAGAATCTTGTCTGGTAGATCAAGAAAAACATGAACCTGAAGAGAATTGCAAGATAATTAAAATTTCTTGAAATTCAGATGAAATTCTTTACACAAAAAAGAAAAAAAAGATTCTTATTTGATCTTTAAGACAGATCACGTGATGTCTTTATGTACGTGTATCTATGTATATATAGATACCAACATTCGTAGAATATATTCATTTTTAAATAGCAACAAGTAATGGCTGTTGTATTCACTTAAATGAACAGTAGACATGCTTGTCAAACAACGTATGATTTGCATGTCAACAACAGGTAAGTGAAATATTTGATAGTAAAGATGAATTCATTAGCACATTAATGGCTTATATTATAGCTGATTTTAGAGTTTTCGAAAAACAACTTAATTACAGCTACGGCTTAGCGACGTGTCAATCATTATCAATTCCAAGTGATAAATATGAAGAAAACGAATTGTAATAATAAATAGATATTTTTAGTGTAAATTATATATTTGTATTATTTACTGTTTTTTCTAATAAATAAGTAAAATTCAAGAAAAAAAAAGAAATTATACAAGAAATATAAGTAAAAAGAATCAGGCAAGAATATCCAGAAAAAAAAGAATCAAGCTGATATTCAAGAATACAAGAATCTTGCCTGATAATCAAAAAAATCAAGCATCTGGAAAGAACGATGTCAAGATCGTCGACTAGTGTAGAACATAAATAATTGAAATTAGGATTTGATTTAATTATTTTATGTATAATGAAGAAAAAATTTTGTTTGATCAGATGATTGACAATTGAAGAAGAAACAAATAACTTCAATAAAGATTTTGTTTGAATATTTAATGACGATTTGGAAATAAGCACTGAGACTAATTAATAACAAAACTGGAGATGACAGCTGGCACCAATGGTTCAAAACATTCGTTGATTCAGTTACTCAATTAACAGATTAAATTTGGAATTTTTTTCGTAATTTAGTTGATTGATATGGTTGAAGATTATAGAGAAAACAAATAATTTTAACAAACTCCGAATATTTTACTCAATGCCTTTCATGAATGCAATATAACACTGCTATGGTGTTCTTCAAAAAATTCATCAAGAAAAGTCCGGTATTCGTTATCAAAACTCGTTTCTTTTGAATCTTCATTGACAAAATAGATTTTGTAACATATTACAAAGATTATCGAAATACTGAGAAAATAAACAGTAGACAGCATTGGCAAAAAAATCGAGTTCTGTTGGTGCAATGCGAGCGAAAGGTATAATCCGTTAAAATGTTATCAGCAAAAATTTTTATAGTAATACGACCAAAAACATCGTTCTTCTAATTCTCGCAAGGACAACAAGATATGATCTAATGTTCATAACATTGCATGTGTATATCATGGTTCTGTAATAAAATGACAGATATTTGGAGTATATGTTAATGAGTACAATGCTGTCAAAATAGAAAAAAATCATGTTGTTTAACATTGTTATAATAACCGTGTCTAACTGAACATATCAAGAAGACGTTACATTCGACACACATGCTAATAATCAAGGTCTAAAATAATCACTTACTTATTATCTTTTATTTTCATTCTACTAAGTATTAGTTGTGTCAGGTGTCTATTATTTCTTTTTGTCCATCTTTCTAATAACATTAAGACAGAAAATCTCGACGAAAATTGTCAAAACAAGTTTCTTTCAACAAATATTTTTGTTATTGACAACAATTCGATTGCAAATAAGACATTCACACCAGTTATTCTCATTTCATCAACAGCAATTCTGAATTAATATTTTATTCAACGACAACCGATAATAATATTGAAAAATGTTCTGACAGTTTTTGCATCGTGTGCCAGTACTATTGGAAACCAAATATACTAATATTGTGTGGAATGGAACAGAAATCAAAAGAATTATTTAGCTCAGTTCTATTTACCAGTTGGAGTAACGTTCTATAAGACAGTAGAAGATTAATGGTACATTCATGATCTGAATTTCGTCTAATTGCAATTGAAAAGGACAAGTTCTGATAACAAGAAGGATTCGTCGTCAATCAATTATTATCGGTAAGTGAAACACAAAAAAGAAAAGAAAATAGAGATCATTTGAATGGTATACTTGATTGGTCTTATTTTTTACTCAAAAATGAATTACCATACCCAACGCTGTATAATGCATTGTTACAACTAATCTCCCGCCGTGATCACAGCGGTAATCTTACCGCTTTCTTTGATAATTGCAAAAAGAATGTCACTTATGATAGTACAACATCAGTTACTGAACTGCACGAAAGTATAAATAAAGTTCTCGAAAACAATATTCTCAGTGCAACATGACATGCAAGAGTTATTAGTACTATGTCTGACGAGGAAATAAATACCTACAGATGCAGAAATCAATGTATTTACATCAAGATTTGTGATCAAATGGCTGGTGAACCGATTGAAATAGATGTAGGTTTGTTACACTTAAAAAACCAAGATTGATACTGCCGTGTGCAATTTTGCAGTAGTATTCGTTCATTAATTATCAAGCTGATGCATTATAATTAGCCGTAACATCTACAGTTGATCAGCTTCTGATATCTGTAAAAGTTTATTCATTTTTAAAGCATTATTTAATTTTATTGATAGATCATCAGTGTGATTAGTTTTATTTGAACATATTCAAAATATTTTTCGAACTCAACATATTTAATTATTTCAATTTGGTGATAATCATTGGCTTTCTAATTCAATTACTATTCAATCTCTCTTACATTTCTCTACATCATTATTAACTATACTGAAACATGTCTCTTATAAGAAGTATGAAGATAGTGCAGAAGCTTTCAATCTTCGTCACATGTTATCGAATCCATCGACTATGCATTTATTCTTCAGATACTTGAGTCTGTGTTAGATAGTCTATCATCTACTATCAAAATTCATTCAAACCAAAACAGCTGATTTCAAACAACAACAGAATTTTACAACATCGACTATGTTGTGGCAGCGATTGTGACAAACCAATCATTTATGAATGGGAAAATAAAGACTTAATGAGAGGTATGTGTGAAACTCGTTCGAAATAGTATTTTAACAGATGTTTATTCTCAACTCTCATTAGCTGCGGAGATCTTACTCATCGCACGTATTAGGATGACTATAGTAGAACGAGATTTTTTTACAATGAGTCTTATTCTTATAAAGTTGAGGAATTGATGAACAACCGAACATGTTGATCAATTGATGAGGAATTTAATTCAATCTACAGTCACTGTAAATGAAGATATTAAAGAAATCAATTGTTAGAAATCAAAATAATCACGTCACTCGGTAGTTTAAAATATATAATATTGGTCTTTACATTGATCGTCTTATATGCTTTTATATTTTGTGTATTTTCTTGCTGGTATGGTTTATATTGCTTGATAGATTTTTATCGTTTTGTGCATTTTGTTCTTGACATACCTTGCATTGAGTGTATATTGTTCGAATAAATGAAATAAAAAGCACTTTACATAACTTAAGGAACATGGATGTTTCGAAAGCATGGATGGAACCAGTTTTGTAAACTTGATAGTGGCTTCTCGTAGAACGTTTTTGTCTATCCTTCCAGGATGAAGGACTTGGATAAAAGATCAGTATCGAGTATGCTTATAATTTATAAATTTGAATGCAACAACGAAATTATCAATGCATGATGGATAAAGGTATGAGCAAAACCTATGTGATGAAAGGGAAATTTACACGTTTAAGTATCGTAAAGGTTTTCAATAAATAGAACAATTTTACACATTAACTGTTATTAGACTTGTTTTCATAGGTTTGAATATCAAATCTGAATACAATTGAAAATGATATTGCAAACAAAATCACAATTACTTTGTTCAGAAAAGACTTTCATTTAAAATGATAATAAGATCTGTTCGAGCACGATCAATTATGCGATAGTCTGGTTAATCTTGGAGGCTATGGTACTTCTTCTTAACTCTCGATGACAACATGTGTTTTGTTCTATAGTTGTATTTGATCTAATTCCAATTATTGGTCGAGTCCAATCATTACCAAATATATCATTTAATGTTCGAGTGCAACATGGTGTAGCAATAATACATCGCTCTGTTCGATTAAATCGCATTGGTAAATGAATACTAAGTAGACGATCAAGGAAAAAATTTGTAAAATGATTACAATTATGTCGAAGTAAATCATCTATCCAAGAAAATTAATGTTTCACATTTAAGTGAAGCATATACGTACAATCTTTACGAGTAAATTTATCATACATATCAAAAAGAATTTTTGTTTCAATTTCATCTTGTGTCATTTCAGTCATACCCATTGTATTCGATAAAATTAATCGACCTAAATGAGAATAAGGTCGAGATTTACAAATACCATCACCAAAATAATATTCGACACCATATATTTGTAAACTCTATAGAATTTTATTGATTATGAAATTTCATTAAGATTTAACTAACTGTATGATAAGCACTAAGAAAATGACAAGCACATTATTTGAACAAACAATTAACTGTTGTATATTCGGCAAGTAAATCATAGAAATTTAGAAGAACAGGTTCCAAATGTTTGGTTGTACGATTAGAAACAATGATTGGTAGATCTTTCATAGATTGGAATCTTTTGTTCTGTACTTTATCAGGATAAAGAAGTGAATATAAAATTGATTGTTTTGGTTTCAACGAAATCATAATAATAATAATTAAATATGGGCGCAACTTTTTTTTTATATTGATGATATTTCGACGTTTCACTCTAAGTTTTATATTAAAATTATGGTTTTGAAATAGATTAGAATAAATATGTTTAACTTTGGATTGAATTTTATTTTTTATTTTTTTACATTCTTTCATTAGCAAAGTCTCTAGTGTTAACTGTTCTTGTTTTAATGAATCATGATAGAAAATCCGAAAGAGGAAATAAATAACAAAGAAGACAAATTGATTGTTCTTTGGTTTGGTTTTCTAGGTGATAGCTTTTATCCTTTCAATCAAAGAAGGAAGTCTCGTTTGATCGTGAATTAGCTCATTCAACTTTTGTCACCAAAAATCCAGCTATTCCATATCAAATGATAGATCAACGTTGAGATTAGTATTTTTGCTGACGGAATCAATAATTTTTTACGGACCAATAAAAGGTGTGACTGAGATGAAAGATGAAACTAACACCTGCACTCTACCCACATCTGCATAGTTTATCTAGCATTTAAAATTAGACATTGACTCTGACTTGGTTTATCTAAAGGTTCTGCTTGATTGCTTATCACGACAATGTCACTATTTCTGTATTCAATAAAGAAACACATGTACATGAGTTGTAACGTATACAATTATGCTAGCACGTGAGAGAAGATCTATAAGTGGGTCGATTATTGATGAAAACCAATCTTATTTTTCTATTTAAAAATTTTTTAGAACGTGCATCTTTTTCATTCACGACTTTCCACTTATGCATCTTCATATAATTAGGTTTTTGAGAATCATCAAATAGATATTGAGAATTTTTTCACTTTACATTTGAAACATATCAACTCAACAGAACACATTCGATTGAAAAGCTCTCAGAAGAATCTCAATGAGATAAAAATTTAGAAATATGATAGATTAATTCCTCGTGTATTAAACATAATGACTCAGATAAATCAACATAGAGAAATGTTTGTAACGGTCTGGAATGCCGTGTTACTTGCCTATCAATTCATTCTGATTATGTTTGACTCTCCTAGTCATTTTTCGTTACTCATAATCTGGCTTCACACGATTTTAGAAAATAACATTAAAACGTTCCCTCATAATAATGAATCATTTTGTTCCCTATTGGAGTTTGTTATTACAAAAGAATTACGTTCATTGGTCAATAATAAAATGTGTTTATTGAGTACAAATGTTATACTCATATTTGGAGTGCAGTGCAATCGAAATCGCTCTTTTTAATTCTACTATCTTTCATATTTATCGATATGCCTGTAGATTTGAATATGAATGAACATACGACTCTTAACATCAGCTTGAATACTGTACAAATGAGTTTTTGAACTACGGTATTATGAACTTTCAAACTCGAATCGCACAATTTTCCGTGAATGCTCTGGATTCTGAATCAATATGAAGTCCATTTGCATAGAAGTCTTTTTATCTTTAAGTGCAGCATTTTATTCCAGATTATACTTTCTTATAGACAGCCGGGAATTATTTTTTCTTTATCTTGTAAAGGATAGTTACGAAAATACGAAGCATATCAATATCCAGCTGAGATGGCTACATCGTGTTTCACATTTTGAGCCCGCATGACTTGCACTTGATTGATCGATGTTGGTCTTTCATTCGAAGAATATCCTCTTTCAAGTTAATTCCTAAATCTTTTCTCATCTTCCAATCATCAGGAAGAGATCGGTTTTGTTCCAGTTCCAAGGTAAAGAATTGTTCACTATTTAGTCGATTTGTTGTCGAAAATAATTATTTTTTTCGCTTAGATAACCATAATATGCATTTCATGATACGGAATTTTTTCATTTATTTGGAAAAACGACTTCATTTTTAGAGGATGATAATCTTAAAAATGAATATTGACGATGATGTAAAAATGATAAAGAGAGACCTCACTTTTTTGGCACATTCATTCGGTAACGACTGATTTCCGTATTTCTGTAACCATTTGAATTCTTCTTGAACTTTACTTTTTTCATTCCAAGGTCATTTTCAATCTATTATGTTATTTGTTTGGAAAAATTAACAATTGTACAAGTATTCTAAGATAGTGGAAGTAACGTTCCAAAATAAAACTTTGATCAGCATCGACTCGTACATCATCTTCATCTGTAACAATGTGTGTCGGTGTACGTAATTTATTCGGTTGATAAATCGGGGATCCACTTTGATAGATTTGTGGTACCTTCCAAGGAAAACCTCCGTGTAAATAACTGAGAAGTAATGGCAAATTCATAGCACTCCACCAAAAAGATGCTCAATGCCGCCAGCATCCGACAGAGCAGCAATGAAACGTGTCATTTGAGTGATGAGTCAATTCGTTAGGAAGTCACCGTAGCTGTAACCCCAGACAGCACGCATTTTCGGGTCGGCAATGCCATCTTTCGTCAGTTGATGGATTTCCATCAGAATGTCTTCACCGGACAATGAGAGTCGTGGGCGACGAATTTCGCCAAAGCCCATCGATACTCGGTGATTACTTTCTAAGACTAGTTAACCTTCGATGGCAGTCGTAGGAGCCCATTTGTTCCGATTGGCTTGAAACTCATTTAGACTTGCTGCATTCGGACCGCCGTGAATAAGAAGTAATAGAGGCAAGTTTTTTGTAGTGAATTTTTTCGCAGTGTAGGGTGAGGTATGTGAGAGTTGGGGTGAAGCCTTCAATTCATCGCAGCGACACACAGCCACACCTAGAGCCAAACTCACACTCATACTCATTCACATGTGCACTGTCGATCTTCCTCTTCATAGAGCAGCTCACATATAGTTACATTGATGAGTTATATTTCTTTGATGAAAATTTACATAGAATGGATCTCACTCTATGTCGTGATTAAAAGATTAAATAAGCTGTGTGAAAAACATGGTTCTTGTTTATGACAAAAAAACATATTCAGCAAAGTAGAACATTAGGAAATGGACGTGATTCAGTCTTATTTAAGAACTCTACTACTACGTTGAGGGTACCCAAATTTGTTATCTTGAGTATTGTCACCATGCGAACAGGCGAATTAGGATCCGTATTGTGGGCATATACTGTCGTTGTTATATCTGTTCCATTATTAATGCACCGACTTTCGTACGTGAATGAATCGACTTGTTGCCACACCATGCAATTGCTAGTGTCAGATTTAGGATTAAGAGATACACAGTTGTTTTCCTCAATAATGGCCGTCGCAAACATGCCGTCTGAATAATATTCGATATATGTTATGGAGTTGCCACCAGGAAGGCTATACGAACTTCGAACTGCGTAGGCAGAACCAGAAGACCTTTGAAGCATTCGAAGAGCCAAAATTCCTATTAACTCTGTAGTCACTTCGTCAAAAGTTGTGAGAGATCGAATCGTATATGTGTGATTGATGCCAGCACCTGGAAGCATGTGATTTGGTAAGAAAGCAAAAAATTCGCCGTAGCATAAGACAAAGAATAGGCTGAGCATTGGAATCAAAATCATTCTGAAACAGGCCATTGCTGCAAATGTTTGTGCTTGCTCGTAACATATGCGAAGCTATTTATTTATATGACAAGAAGACATTGTTTGCTTTTATGTATCCATGACAGAAGAATATTTTCTCCGTCGCCAAATATAAGCTTACAAGATCAGAAGAAAGTAATTTCATTGCTTTAATGTGGCGCACACTTGAACGGGTATAACGCACTTTTAATGATGTTGTTTCTTTTTTTAGATATGTAAAAACGTTGGCCAACAAGGCTGCAATATTTTTTCTTTTCGCGGAACGGTTTGTGCAATGTAATGGAAATTTTAATTAGATTCACTTGAGTGAATTATTCATTGATCAAATATACGTAGTTGAGAGGAACAGAATAGAGACGAACTGTAGAGCACCTTTTCAATATCGAAAAAACTTACCAATACACTTTGAAGCGAAAAAAGAATGAGCGCATATATGCAGGCTAGGATGGCTGTCGATGTATGTGTTTGTGGGGTAGATCTGAATGGGACTGCAAGAGCGTAGGTGTCGACCTTATTAGAAAGGAAAAGGGCTGTAGGTGTGGATATAGGTATAAGTATTTAGGTTAACCGAAGCACTACATCCACACACTCATGCCCACTCCCACACCCTACACCCACACCCTAAATATGCAGATGTGCATTGCTTTTTTGAAATATTGCTCCTGAAAAAATCATAAGTGCAAAAGTATATTTTTTGAAAATGCTTATTTTAATTGTTTTATATCAACTTTTTTATATTCATATACTAACTACTCGATTACATAGTAGTTTTCTCTTATTTTGCATAAATTTGTCCTTTGAAAAATATTATAAAGCCCCATATTTTGTTTTGAACCATTAGCCAATGCATAGCCACCACTGTGATAAGCTCTTCCTGCAGTTACATGATTAAAATTATTATCACTGACACACACCTTTTCAGTGAGTGTTGTAGCTTGAACTTCAATAGATTTTTCGCTTTCAGATGAGTCTTTTATCGATGAAACTTGATATTGATAATCAGTTGCTGGACGCACATCTGTATCAGTATATGATGTGAGGCTAACACTGGTCAACTTATTCCCATTACGATAAATATTATATGCTGTTACACCTGAAACGGCATTCCATTTCAAAGTAATAGAATTACTGGTTATATCTATAGCTATTAAACCATTCGGCGTTTCTACAGCTGGTGGTATACCCGTTGTTTTACCAGTTACTGAATTTGAAGGCGCACTTTCAGAACCTGCTGATGAAACAGCCTTGACGGTGTACGTATATGTTGTACCTGAGTTTAAATTATTATCCGTAATTGTTGTTCCAGTTATTATTGCACCGTTAACTTTACCACCATTTCTATAAAGATTATAACCAGTTGCACCTGAAACTGGTCTCCATCCAAGAGTAACTGAATTGTCTGTAGTAGCAAGAACTTGGAGTTCCGTCGGTGCATCAATTGGATTGAAACCATTCGTTATACGATCAATCATTTTTTTCGCAGCGGTCGATTGTTTACCACTTTTAACACTAAAATCATTTCCATACCATCCAACCCAGTCCCAACATCCATTCGGGTTTGGAATTGAGGCTCCACCACCCATGTTTATTGTATTTGTGGCCACTGCTTGTGGATATAAAACTATGATATTATTGGTATCAGCCCAACGATTAAATCCTGTATTTTTAACGTACTTGTCACCAATTTTTTCGTAGCCTTGTAGACAACCATGGTAGGCAATATGTAATTTACAAGTATCTCCATCAGAACAGCTTTTAGGTACATAAACCCATCCTGTAGTGCTCATTCCATTACTTCTTGCATTAGTTATAAATTCTTCTTGATTAAATTCAATAAATTTTCCACTTAATGCTCCATTATTTCGTGGTTTCAAAGGTCCATAAATATGTTGGAGTATAGCACCTGCTCCATCGAAGGCACAATTACTTATATAAGGACTACTGGTAGATCCGCAACCATTATTACCACTACTATCAAAATCAGTGGGAAATGTATGTGCAGAGTTTAAATTGTTTTTAAATACAACATTTGCACTTGGAATAAATTGACCATCAGTCACATAATATTTATATAATTGAGCCATTACCGAAGGACCCACAGTAGAATCGGAAGTTCCAGAGATCATGTAAACTTTGTGTTTTGCTAAATTTTTTATGTCATCAATTTTATTTCCACTCCACGATTTTGTATTTGAAATAGATTGAGTAATCGATGGGCTACTTGTGTACATACAACCAGTGTAACTTGTTTGTCCTGCACAGTTATAGGGGCCACCTGCTATGATTCCGGCACCTTTTATTGAAGCTGAAAATGCCACTTGTATTTGAGTGGCAAAATATGCACCGGAAGATAAACCGGAGACCGATGTTTCACTTGGATCCACATTATATGACGATAATTTCTAGAGAAATCAACGTTATTTATTAAACATGGTAAGAATAATTGAGAATAAAGGAATTTCTTTTTATTCAAGCGAAAAATTCTCTCCATATAACTCTTAGATCTAAACCTTCATAGATTAGGCACTGATAAAGGATACTATGATCAAATTAATCATATTATCTTCTAGAACAGTAATTTCAGATAAAGAAGTTAAAATCTATCATTTAAGATCGGATGAAATCTTACCTCAGCTGCATAACAACAGCTGATCAATAAAAAGATCCATGATATGAACATCAAATTCTTTGTTGTTACCAAATCTGTGTATGGAAGTTCTGCTCGGTTAAGTAAGTTGTTTTATTTTACTGAATAAAAAAGTCTTAAAAATCAATAAAACAATCTAAAACAAGTATAGATAGAATTTAAGATAATTTTAATATAATTTAGAGAATATACACTATAGTAGATTATATCAGCAAATACATAATGATAGCAACAAACACCTATTGAAAAAGGATCCAAGGAATACTTGCTGAACACAATAAAGCTTAATTGTCTTGCTCTTATGGACGAGGCAACACTCAATGGTATAGATATGATTCACGATGATTTTCAGGAATGAAAAGGACTAAACTTCCTCAGACAGACATATCTATTTGCTAAAATCTGAGAGATAACTTTCATATAACCGATGAAAATGTTCGTCGACACAACGTAAAACTGTGAGAGACTAGTACACCCCTACCTCTCTCTCATCGCGGACGATAAGTATAGATCTGTAATCTCACATGCCGTACCGTGCCAAATATCGAAGATACGTCTTCTTGCATCACTCCTGGTATCCTCTAGACGTCCTTCTAAAATCAATCACTTTTTGTTAATTAATTTTTTGCTATTTTTATCATCGTTTAACTTTAGACTTATTCGAAATTTAACGGTAAAGAAATCTCTTTTGGTTGGAAAGAAACAAACAAGTGAGTTTGTGCTACTGTTGAGAATTTCGTACTTACGATGATAATTGCAACTATTTGAATCGATTACAAATGGCTAATATGTCGCAAAAAACATTCTTATATATCTATCAAGTATGATATTTTGTCGATTTCTTCTAAGTGTATAGATACTGTTTATTGCTTTGTCATTAATCATTTCAAAGTAGAGTATGCATGCAACTAGTATTAAATCAATTAGCAAACGACTATCAAGTGTCAAAAATATTCGTAAATCTTGATAAAATAGAGCTTAAACTTTTTATCGACAATTAAAAGTACAATAATATGCAATCAATAGAAATTTGATATGTTGTTTTTCGCAATACGAACAATGCACATTTTCAATCACGTGCATTGTAAATTATTGGGTAGCTTTGAAGATGTAATGCGAAACCTTCAGTAGTTTTAAAATGTTAGTGCTATTCAGATGAAGGATGTAGGTGGAGATTTAGATATTCTTTTTATCTATGCACACACTCTACGTTGCTCTGTCTTTCTGTATCATTTTCATAGGATGTGGGTGTGGGTGGGATATGTGAGTGTGGGGTGTGGGTGGGTGTGGATGTGGGTGGGATGTGTGGGCGTGGGGTGTGGGTGGGATGTATGAGTGTGGGGTGTGGGTGGGTGCGAATGTGGGTGGGTGGGATGTGTGGATGTGGGTGGGTGTTGATCTTCTCCTCATTCACACTCACACCAACACAAGCAGATCCACACTCTTCAGACTCACACCCACGTCAACACCTAGACTGTATGACTCTCCTTTCAGTAGAGGGAATGATGAAAAAAATGAAGTTCCTGAAAGTTAGTCTTTGTTTGGTTTAATTGCAGGCTTGAAATTCAAGCTCTCGTGTCAATACTATTGATCGACGAGAATGAGAAAAACTTGAAGATAGAATCCATGTTAAGTAATCAATTCTTCCCTGGTTTTATTTGTGCCTATGCAAATTAGATTGCGATGTCAGTATTCATCTTCAAAAAGAAGGAGAAAGAAAAAAGGCGCAGTAGAACATAGTTATTAACGATGAGCTGATCTTTTTCATGCTTAACTTGTAGTATTGCAACTGACATTGGTTTACAAATATAACTCATTGTAGATAAACTAACAAACAAAAAAGCACATGCAAACAGGAATAAAATGTGAAAGCGCATACCAGTGATAGTTCTCTAGTCTCCCTTTAGTTTATTTGCAATTTTAAAAATAAAACTTGTTTCTCAAGATCATCGGTCACCGAAGAACAACGAAAAGAAAAAAAAAATGATGTCATAAATTTCATCGATAGAATTTAAATACTAACATATTTTGAGCAAAGACATGATTCAAATCATGTCCCATGCATATTTGAGGATTGATTCTCTGGGTATTGCAACTTCAACTTGTTGTTATGAAATTCGCAAAAAGATACTTTCATTACATGATAAATACAAGATCAAAGACGAATCGGATCACGATGTCTTCATTGTTCGATCAAAGCTGTTAACGTTCACTGACAAAATTATTTTGGAAGATTTGGATGGACAGTAAGTTTATCGATTATTTTTTTTTATGGAGCCTTACTTTATTCAAGAACGATGAGTCAGATGCATTCAGTGAAACTCTATGCTCTCAATGCATATTATATTAATAAAACTAAATACTTAATAATATTTATTTATGATAGGAAATCTGAGAGAGCTCTGAGAAATTAGCTCAAGCTAATCTATTGTTTTAGGAAGCATACTGGGTTTGTCGAAAGATTAATCTATCAATTGATAGACATGTACCTGTCTTTTGATTATTACTCGACATCACCAAATAGTCATTATGTATTGACAATATGATAGTATTCCTTCGGAACATGATTTATCTAATTTTTCGGATCCACCTCTCGTGATATTGTCGTTTGATACATTGACAGACAGTCGAGTACACTTGATGAATTCATTGTCTACTGTAAATAAGGCTAATAATGGAAAGTCGAGTGAAAACAACTGACTAGGCACACGTGAACAGCCTCCATTGTAATATTAGTTATGTCTTATTTCATGAAGAGTTGATGAAGGCTGTGAGCTATGAAGAACTAGGCTTTCTATGAATGAAAATCTGGTAACGCCTGTTCTGGAGATATATAGTAAGGAAAGATTATATTTTTATCGAATCTTAGACAGAATCTTTCAATTGGCTAAGCCTATGTTGTTTACAGAAAAGTGTTTCAGAATCGATTTTAGTTCCAACATTTATCAATTGAATTCTGGCATTGCTTTAAAGAAAAGACTACAGATCGCCAATGCAATTCTGTCTACTGAGTTTTTTTCATAAATTTTTACTAATATCGAAGTATATGTTACAGGGTTCAGCCTAAAATTCTTAGTGATATTCTCACCTGAAATATTAGAAAAAAGTGTCGATATAAGACTAAGTGTCTCATCGATCTGATAAATCCAACGGATAAATCATCAAGCATACAGTTTGAACATCAGATAATATCTTCTTTTCTCGTTTGTGACTGACATAGTGTCAATTTCGTCTAGGCGGTTTGCATGATGGTTTTCCATCTTGAGTCAGGTTCTGTTTGAACGCCTGCAATTTCTCTTTGTAGTGGACTATTAAAGATCGAGGAAGAACGGCTTCTTTTACATCCAACATATAAAATATTGTCAGCATGTGTTGGTGATGTAGGTCGGCAACTAGTATTAGTTAAGAAGAAATTTTCTGTCGATTCAATCTATGGAAAATATAAATTAGAAGCACTGAATTTATTAGATCGCTCATTCATGTTAACAAAAGAAAGACAGACAATGACAATTCTAAACAAAAAATACGACACTGTGGCTAACGCCTACGGAGTAGAAATCGATGATAATGAAGATCATGCATTTATTATAGTGCTGATAATTATTAACAATCACTTGCTGTACTTTTACTAACGTTGGAAATCGATTTAAGTAACAATTGACTTCGTATGAAATAAAAAGATGCACTTGTCTTAATTGTGTAATTCATCTGAAAATGTTATTGTTTCTGTCTAAGGATGACTTTAATTGGAACGATTTGAAAGCTTATGTATTGTCATTCTGATAATAAAATGAATATGTTCGTCGACATAGTACATTTTATATCTAGTTTTATGTGATACATATTCATCTATGAAATGCATGATTTGTCATTGAGTGAGGAATAAAATTGTATAATCGATAGTAAAATTCTTAAATCAATTACGAATAATTTAGATGTCGGCGAAGATTTGACCAAGATGCTCATTATCAATTTCGATTTTCAATGTGCATTATTTCTCATTTCTACAACGATCAAGCCATAGGTCAAACATCGTATCCATTCTGGTTGTTTTGTAATTGACCAAGCAATCATTGTCGATCATAAAAAATTTATATGATTATTTGAACTTAGTTTGAAATTCAGAAGCTATAATTGCCTGGATGTCGATGACCTGAAAATTCCTATACATGCTCCACATTCACAGTGCGACTGTTCATTCAAAAACATGCTTTTCATCTTCAATGAAATCAATATCATAATTGTAAAAGACGTATATAACTTAGAAAGGATACAACTTATTTGCACGTATAAGTATGATACATTTCAAGCTGTTATTGGATAAAGTTCTACTGAATCGTATAATCCGATAACTGAGGTTAGCGATTTACGTAACAAATAGGCCGATCAGATACTGTTTCCTTTGGAGATATATTTTGCCCGTTTAGTCAGTTCTTGTTTGTCAATTCTGCGAAAGAATGTTAGATAAATTATAGAATCAAATCAGTAAAGCAAGCTGCATCGCTCGAAAAGCATAATAAATAGAAGATCATGACCCAAGCAGACAACAAAAAAGAACACGCGTTTAAACGCTATACTTTATGAGAGCGTTGTTGGACGCTAATCGAGGATCCAGACTGGCGTTCAAAAACGATTCGAAAAATTCGACGTGAGAATGCGAAAAAATTCGCGACATTATAAATTTTTTGTAGATAAACACATACATTAAAAAGTGTCCGCGTACATATCCAAATGATTCGACCATTTCCACCTACCAATCGAGAACATCGACTGTCACCGTAACACACTCATTCAAACTGGGTGTGGAAAAGCTTAATTTCTATAACCATCAAATTTCGTGTAGTTTACACACTTCAAAAAAGTACCCATCCACCTCTCTTATTCTCAAAGCTGTAACGAAGCAGCCTTTTTGAACCTCGACTGTCACTTCCACACGACTGTCAATAGGCAGCATGTAACCGTTCCATTCGAAAATGATTCTTACTTCAAATATATCTTTCGGGATATCGAACAAATAGCATATACCCACTGAG